TCAAAATCCTTTTCCCAGATTAAAAGAGGAATAAACAAGAAAAAAAACAAGCATGGCATTTATGTCAGCTGTCCATAACTGTTTTCTTTTCATTTAACTGTATGTTTTCAACATGTAAAATGTGAGTGTTTCCAAAGCCAGAATCAGATAACAAGGTACATTCAGAGAAGTTCTTCTTCCATCTCTGTTCCATTGTGTTCTCTTTCTTCACCCACTGATAAGCATTTAAATAATTTTTGGATTATACGTTCAGTGTGTCTATCCACAAATATAAGCAAATACACACATGCACACACAACCATATTCATATTTCTTTCCCTATTTACCCCCAAACTAGCATATAATTTTACAGTTTGGCACCTTGCTTTTTTCAATTATCAAACTACTCTGCAGATCACGCCATGTCAGCATGTGGAGATTTTCCCCCTTTCTTTTTACAACTCAGCATTTTAAAGCATCTGTGTGTTTCTTTTAAAATATTATTCAAGCAAAAATAAATAAATATATTATTAAAGCAGTCATTACAGGGAGGACTATAACTCTTGGCAGAATTTAAGTAACTAATTCTAACTTATCTATAGCAAATGTACAATTTCAGGATAATATACTGTCACAAGTATAGGTTCATGATATATTCTTTCCTATAAGTCAGCCAGGCAACTGCCTGGCTCGCTGCCTGCTGAGCAGCCCGGCACCAAGGAAGAGACAGGAGTCACACACGGTAACTATGCTATTCACTCAGCATTTATTGACTGCAGGTTCACTCAAAGTAGAACATCAACATACATTAATATCCTACTCACAGTTTAACAATCTAAGAGAAATATTAACACACATACAGCAATCGATGGGGGATAACGAACGCGAGCCCGAGTCTCAGTCTGCAGGCCTGGCAGACAGCACCATGGGCAAAGGAGTTGTCAGCATCTTGCAAGGAAGGATCTCCGGAGCCAGGTCGGCAGCAGGGTAGACAAAGTCTTCAGTCCCGTGGGGCAGAGCATCCGGCGGCCAATGCCCAGGGGGATCAGTGTGGCGTGGAGCAGCTCTCTGGTGTGTGGAGCTCAGCTGTCTCAGTAGTGGTCTGGAGCCTGCCTCAGTCACACCTTGAAAGTGGTGGACTCCACCCATCTGGGTCTTTTTTATTTTTTAAGATTTTATTTATTTATTTTTAGAGAGAAGGGAAAGGAGGGAGAAAGAGAGGGAGAGGAACATTGATGTGTGAGAGATACATCGATCAGTTGCCCCTTGCACACCCCTAACTGGAGACCTGGCCTGCAACCCACATGTGCCCTGACCAGGAGTCGAACCAGTGATACTTTGGTTCTCAGGCTGGCACTTAATCCACTGAGCCACACCAGCCAGAACTACCTTTCTGGGTCTTTTTGATAAATGTCCTGCCACCCCGGATGCCAAGGAGGGAATTCGCCCAAGAGCCTATCTATGGGTGGTCCCGCTCTGCAGACGTGGCTGTTCTGATCACATGTGCAGATACCGTAGGTGCGTCTCCTTGCCAAATGTGTCTTCTCTGACTTAGGTAGTTTCCCACTTGAACCAAGGTGTCATGGCTGACTGACAGCCATTTTGGTGGACATGAGTGACTCCACTTTGTTTTATATACTTTATGCTATCTTGACCAGACCAATACCATTTTATTGATCCTGCTCTCCACATATGCTCACACCACTCACCTCATGCCTCCAGCTTTTAGGATGTGCTGAGAGGGCAAATGGCTTTGACAATTAGCCCAGGATAGTTGCAACTAGGCTTTGGGCTGGAATGACACAGAGATGGCAAAAGTAATACTTGCAGCTGGGGCCAGGAAACGACCTCTGCCCTCCAAAAGCTCAGATCTGGGCAGAAATCATCACTTCATCAAACAGGACAGTATTTATATGAACACAATGGAATAGCCTATTTTATTAATTATTTTAGTCTTTTATTTTAATAAAAATTTTATTGACTAAGTCTAGTGAATCAAAGGCTCCCCTCACTACATCCCCAATGAGCCACGTAGTAAAATTGCACTAGGCCCTGATATAGAACGATAAAGTTTGAATTTATATCTATTTAGGGAGGGTTGACTACTCATTTCAAAACTAGACACCAATATCCGGGACTAAATCTTCCATCAAAACTATCTGTTAAATAAGCTGGTTATACTAAATAAATGATGAAGGATAATTCTGTGTGACCAACGTAGATGACCCTATAAAGTCAGTCTTACACAAATATTGCAGACCATGGCCACTGCTGCAGCTGGGCACCTGGAGTCAAGGAAATTCTGAGTTACAGAATTCTAGAACTGGGTGATCTTTTTTTCTGTCCTTTGCAGCAGATGAAACTTCAACATACTTATTTAAGATCAATTCCAGAAAAAGTAAATCAGACATGCATGTAACTTTTAGTTTCTCTTTTTTTGCATTAGCTTCTTCAAAAATTAGAGTTAATAATTTAAGGCATCAAAGTAATAATATATGGTTCATCATTTATAAAACTACTTTGGGAAGATTTGTCTGCGCTCTGAAATCAATGCTAACCTGCATTTCTGATGAAGCTTTGAAAATATTTTTAAAGCTCTTTTTATTTTTATATACTTATAAATGCCCATTGTTAAATACAGGAAAGTATAAGAAGAAAATAATAATACGCTGCTGCTATATCTAACCACTGTTAATAGTTGAGCATATTTTTCAATATTTTTTCCTATATGCACATGTTTTTTTCCTTACGCTGTTGAATATAGCAATCAAATCTAACCTAAAGGCTTTGTGAATTGGAGATAAAACTATATATATCCTTTATCTGATTTTGACTCTTTGATATGATAGAAAAAATAATTAAATGTCTCATTCATTCCACTTTCACATTGCCACTGTGTGATTCCAATTCAGAGGCCTTTCAAATGTAAAAAGGGCTCTTTGCCATAATAGAAGATGACAGTCTTAAATCACTCATTTAAAAAATACACTTTTAGAATGCTCAAACAAGGATGATGATCTTTCATTGATTTACTAGAACTTTCTCACCATTCCTCCGTAAGACCACAGGTGTGTGTTTGCATCAGTCAGCAGTACCTGCAATGTCCTGTCCTTGTCTAGGGACCAACCAAAGCAAACTGGACTTGATGAGGATTGATCCAGGACCTCATCAACCCACATTCTAGACAAATGTCAGCATAATCAGATTGCTTTAGGCAAATTGAGCCCACAGAAACCTAGACTAACAGAATGGATAAACCATAAGGTGATATTTGCTTTAGGAAAGAACTCCTTCCCAGAGAATTCTTTTAAATAACAAGCACTGTTAGTGTATTTAAAATAAGATTTGACTATATTCAAACACATCTTTCAGGATTGGCTACTGAGGAGAGTCCCATACAAAGCAACTTCCTGTTTTGCTGGGAAGTCTTTCAAATAATACCATTTGACACATTTAACACAATAAATAATTACCAAAATTTCATTTTAATTACCGAAGATGTAATTTGAGGTTACATCAGAGCCACAAGGTAAATTAGTTTCCTATGTCTCAAGGCCTTGTTCGCACTGCGTGGAATTTAAAAAGGTCTCTTAAAGGGCAAAAAATATGGAAAACATGTAATATACTTTCAAATAACTGTGAAATATCTGAAACAAGGACTTTGAGGTCTCAAGCTCACTCTTGACACAAGCTTTACAAAGCTAAATATGAGCTAACAGGCTCATTCCTAGGTGCAAAATTACTTTATTGCTTTTAATAATAAATTATTTAAATTAATTATGCTAATTAAACTTTGCAAGTTGCCTGAGGAGGATGCAAAACAATAGGAGCAGGACGGGCTACACGATTTACCCCGCCCCCTCTTCGAAAATTACCAATTTCAAGAGGGCATTCAACCTCCTTGACCTTGGCAACAATTGCACTTGAGCCAGGCTATGCACGAGGCCCTTCCCCTCCCCCCACCCTCTCCTTAAAAAGACTCCATTTTTTGCAGTTTTTGGTTTAAGGAAAAATTGGGCGGGAGGCACAGCGATTATCCATACACCACCGGCCCCTCCGAGGCACTTCTCATTCACCAGGGCCTTAACCCCCCGGTCACAGTGCGCTTGGGCGCAGAGAGGGGTGCTGGCGTTGCTGTCATACAGTTTTAGGTAAAATACTCAGCACAGCTCTTATTTACTATGCAATCACTGGGTCACAGTACTGTAAAACAGATTTTTTTTTCTTTCCCTTTTTATTGAAAAGAAACAGACTTTTCGAGTTGTTTTGTATTGTTGTTTGTTTCGTTGTTTACAACAGTGTTGCATTGAGAAGAATTTAGGCTCACTGTTAGCAAACTGCTGGAGGCAGGTCTAAGCGCCTGGGACTGGTCCTTGCGGCCCACTGCGCATTTTGCTCCGGGACGCGGGTACGGTAGCCTCTGGAGACGCTCCTCGCGTGGCGACCTTTTCTCGGTCTCCAGCGCTCGCCCAGAGCCGCACCTCCGTCTCTTCCCGGTACCTAGGTGCCCAGGTGGGCCCGAATCAGACGTCAGCCCCGGCCCAGAGCAGCCTCCCGTGCACTTCTTCGCCGCCCAAACTCGCTCTCTCCGGGCCACTGCGCGCCCCTCTCTCTCCTCACGACTGCGTTCCCGTCGCCTGCCCCCTCTACCAGTCTTTCACACTCTACGGCCCCTCCCGGGACAGCGCTGGGACCCCAGCCCCGGGCCAGGCTACAGAGCCCTACCGCCCTCGGGGCCTCCCGATCACCCGGTGCCCTGGCCCCTCAGGCTCCCCCCGCCGCGCCCTGAGGCTCCGGGCCGCGCGCCACCGCCCCTCGGCCAGCCGGGCAGCGCGACGAGTCCCACCCCGCGCGCCCCGGGAGCCGCGGAGGCGGTGGCGCTGGCGGGCGGCCCGGGAGGCGGCGGCCCCGCGGCCTGTGCGTGCGCAGCGCCCCCCGTGGCCGAGCCGAGCGCAGGCGGCGGCGGAGGGAAGGAGGGAGTCGCCCGCCCCCCGCCCGGCCTCCTCCCCTGCCCACCGCCCTCCCGCCCCGGGGCTGCCGGCGGTGTCCGCGCCTCCCCGCCCGCCCCGATTTCCTCCGCGCAGTGGCGGCGGTGGTGGCGGCGGCGGCGCCTCGTGCGTGCGGTTATTTATTTATTTCCGGGCTCCAGAGCGCTTATAATGGAGCCGCTGTCAGCAGAACCTTCTGCCGCCGCCACCGCCGCCGCCGCCACCGTCCCTCCTCTTTTTTTTCCCGGCAGATCTTTGTTGTGTGGGAGGGCAGCAGGGATGGACTTGAGCTTGCGGATCTCCTGCTAGAGCCGCCGCGCTTGGAAGAGGGCGCCGCCGTCGCCGCCGCCGCCCCGAGGCCCCGCCGGAGCCGGCCTGCGTCCGCCCGCACCCCTGCCCACTCGGCCCACCCGCCCCGCGCTTCCCGGCAGAGTCCCCTCGTGGCGGCAGATGTGTGTGGGGTCAGCCCACGGTGGGGACTATGGTGAAATTCCCGGCGCTCACGCACTACTGGCCCCTGATCCGGTTCCTGGTGCCCCTGGGCATCACCAACATAGCCATCGACTTCGGAGAGCAGGTAAGCGCCGCCGTGGCCCGCGCCCCGCTCACTCTGCCTCGGCCTTGGACGCCCCGGCGTGGTGGGATGGGGGCAGAAGGGAGTCACCTGCTCCGAGTTCGTCTTTATCCTGCAACATTTCGTTGGGTTTGCAGCCTGTCAAGGATGACTTTTCCAGCACTCTCTTTCCTTCCTCCCCCGCCAGTTATTCAGCAGAGTTTTCCAGCTCTCTGGAAAATGTTAAAACACGTAGGGGGTTTGGCGCTTCACCTATAGAAGGGTTTTCAGTGCACAGCAGGAATATTATGTAATTTGTGGTTATGTAAACCTCAGGTCTTAAAGTGTAGTTTCTGATAGTTCAGGTGCTGGCTTTTTATTTTTCCCGGCTTGATGGTGATGGTGATGGTGATGATGGGGAGATTTTTTATTAAAATGTGTCCCAGTTGATTTCGCAGGTACTTCTAATTTGTTTTCAGCCCAGGTATGGATTAGTCCCCGGTGTGTCCTGATAAGCGACCGTTGGCCATCTCTGGTTTGGGATTTGGGGGTTGTTTTCTCTTGGACCCCTAAAAAGAGGCGTGCATTTTTTGTTGCCTTCTCGTCCTTGTTTCTTTTTATGTTTTTCCCCATTGATCTCCATGTGGCGTCATTGCAAAACTGGCGCTGCAGACTCCCCAGCATCGGGGTATTGGTGCTCTGCACTTGGCCTGTGGGGACCGTTTTGTTTTTTGGTTTGTTTTTTTTTTCCGCAGGGCCCCAGGGGGAACAGTTGCATTTTAAGGCCAGGAAGAGGGGTGGGCTGTCGCATGCCACCTTGATGCACGTTGTTGGAAGTGGCCAGAGTGTGTAATGAGCAAGGCTCCTGGTGGTGTAGCACCTTATTTATGTTCTTTTTCTTTAAGTCAAGAGACTTAAAGGGTTATCTCTGTAAAAGATGCACCTATTTTAATGCACTTTTAGTTTTAAGAAAAAACGAACCGTTTTTCAGAAGGGGGTTCATTTAACATCTCCTTTTGGTGAATATCTGCTTGGATTTGTCTCTTTGCTCAGAACTTCTGATTGATTGCAACTCTGTAAGCTCCCTGAGACTTAGTGACATTGTAAACTACATTGTAAGCTACTTTAACTTTGTATTTTATTGCAGATAAGTGTCCACAATGTAGTGCAGTCTTTAGAGACCTTTGTCTAAAAGCCAGCTAATTTCTCTTAACTATTATATCTATTCTGTTGACACTGTGACTTGCCAGTTACCCACCCCCAAGGGCTTCTCTGCTGCCGCACCTCCTTCCTGCCCACCTTACCTTCTTTCATAATTACCTGGTGATTTGGGGCATTTCCTATAATCTGTAGAAAGATTTTTTAGACCTGAATTCACTACCTTGCATATTAAATGAGTCAAGTGTTGTGTGTTCACCTGAACCTTTTACTGTGTTAAGACTTATCTTCTTGGAGCTGCTCCAAAGGTTGTTGGCCCAGCCTGCTCACCTAGTCACTTCTCCCTGAACTGTAGTGTGGGGGAGGGGGGAGGGGGGAGGAATTATGTAGGGAAACTGGAGGAAACAAGAGCATTCTTCATCATAGTTAAATGACCTGAAGCATACTATAGTATTGGCTCACATTTGCCTTGATTTAATACAATGCTGATGTAACTAAGGATTTGAGTTTAGGGTAAGAGAAAGGGTTTTCTGAGGTTACAAAAGGGTGGCTAGACATAAGTGACAACTATACAGATGATTTATCATAGTGGTTCTACTAATTCAAACTCATCTTTACAACATTGCTAACCTCATTATCACAGCTGACATAAGAAAAGTACTAGAACAGTTATCTTTTTGCACAGAAGCAAGTTTTATCAACAACTGTTTTTTGAGGTCCTTTATCCCTTAAATGCCCGCGTATTTTGAGGTTAAAGGCTGCCTGGAGGTGGAGATATTTTATCAGAGTTGGGATAGAGGAGAGATGGGAGAAGAAATTGTTAGGTTCCCAAAACCTTGCTTTGCCTTCTAATATCAGATGATAATTGTTTTGCAAAATGTACAGGATAAGAAGAATGGAACTTGTGAACTAAGAGATGACCTGGTCATATGTGGGTAATGCATATAAGAGCATTTACCCCAACTGCTTCAAAGCACAATAAAGACAAAGAGAATGAGCCTATTTGCAAAAGTAGGTCTATGTTAGACTTTTGAAAATAGGCAGCTCTTGATGTGAGTTTTTATCAAGTTCTAGACAGATGAACATACACAGATCTCTATCATTCTATCAGAGTGAGCATGTATATGACACCTTGCCCTGAATGAACACTGATTTCATATTTCAGTAATTTATTAATCCTAAAGTAGGGACATGACATGGGAGTGTAAAGGTCAAAACAACCCCTGGCTCATGCTTTTGAGAGAATCAAGAAATGCAAAATTAAAAAATAAAACATCTCATTAGCTTTTAAGTCTCTGACTTGTCCAGAACAAAAGGATAGTAAAATGCTTTTAAATGAATCTTAGAGGAGGGTTTTCTATGATTATAAACATCTCAGCTTGAGGTTTCTGTTGAAAAGATAGACAGAACTTTTAAAATGGAAATAACCCAGCTATATAAAAGATTCCCCTGAAATTAGAATAAGCAGCACATATGTGATTGTATATAGGAATTAGACATTAGTTATCTCAGCTATTAATGTATGTCGGAGAGGGGGTATGAGGAAACCTGTAACAGTCCATCCAGAGCCTCCTGATATTCTCCATGAACATTATCTCTTGTATGTAGATTTCCCTGTAATTTCATAGCTTAGTCAGGGAGGAACCCAACTATTATGGAGTATTTATTCTAACAATACCAGCAAAATCTGGGATCACATTTTTCAGTTTTCATGGTAGTAGTCATTTAAGAAGGGAAGGAGGGTTGAATTCTACATTGGAAAAAGAAAAGCTATATGGAAAATAGAATGGCCTGCTTTATAATATTAAACATGGGTAGCATTGAAAAGAATGAGAATATATCCTTTATTGCAAAACATAAAATAATATTTGTAGAATCCTGTAAATGCATAGAACACTTTAGGATAATTGCAGTATATCTAGAGTTATTATTTTGTGTCTATTTTTACAGATTGATAGTCAAAAGTATTAATTACTTCCATTCTTTGAGCACTTTATATGTGCTTATAACACCTCAATACAAGTTATGTACCAGGAAAGAATGAGCGGCCTAGGCATGTTAAGTGACATGTCCGAGATCACACAGGCAGTACGGGGCAGAGCCGAGTTCATGCCCACATCTGCCTGGGCCTTGGCCGGTCTGCTCCCTGCCTGCTCCAGTCACGCTCACTCACGGAAACCTGCCCGGGAGTCCTTAGAAATGTATCCTTTGAGCTTTTCAGATTCCTAGCCTGGGTTTAAATTTAATCTTAGCTATCACATTTTGAATTGTAAAGATTCAACAAGTATAGGGCAATGGTAACAAGGGCTCCCAGGAAAGAAAGATTGTGACCAAGAAGTTCATGTAAAAAGAGCCAAATCATCCTAGTAATTAATTAATTCCACATTGTATCTTATTTTGACAAGGTTGGCATAGACTTTGGTCAAGGGGAGGAAAAAAGATAAGAAACAACAGGTACTTCACAATAAAAGTGTTCCAAAATCACTTAGTCTTTAGCATTAGAGCCATACAGACTGCTAAGGAAAGATGGAGGAGGCTGATACATTTTGTACAATATATTTCTTCAAAAGTATTTGCAAATGTACATTTGGTTTTACCATGTTCAAAGGATGTTGTTTCTGCTTAAAACTAAACTTGGTGCTAAGTCCCTGACTACCTTAAAAGCCAAGTTCACCAAATTATGTAGAATAAAGCAGTGAACTTTAAAAGGTACCAAATCACACTTAAAGCATTAGCTCTAACTTTGAAAGGTAAAAGAAAGTTGACCTTGTTCTCACTTGAGAAGAAATGTGTTCTGTCTAGTGCCAGGTAATGCAGTCTTTTACCCTCAGATGGTATCTTTAGGTATTTCAGATTGTTCTGTGTGACTCCCTGGTCTTGATTGGGTCCAATATGGCAATTCAGTGACCCTAGATGTTTACCTGTGAATGAAGGCTTTTGCATATGGGTTGTTAAAGTTATACCAGTAAGATGTATAATAGGAATGTTAAAATGTTTTCCTCGTCCCCCTTTCTAACTTAGGAAAGATTTTTCTAACTTAGGAAATCTACTACTGTTAGGCTTCCACAGTGCACAAAGAGGTCCTGCAATTATTAATACCACCAAATGGGGGGAGGGGAGAGAAGCCCAGGAAAAGTAACGTAATAAATGTTCTTCCTATCTACTAAATAGAGAAACACCCCCCACACGCACACACCACCCCCACCACCACCACCACCACCACCACACCACACACACACACACACACACACACACACACACACACACACACAAGTTCTCCATTAAGCTAGGAGGTACAGGAATTAGAAGGGGTGAATGGATGGCGCTGGCCACTATTATGAAGGGATTCTTCACCCAAGGTCACCAGGTCATAGGAGAGACAGAGCTTGCCTTAATAATAAAAGTGTCCATTGTGTGTTTTACTTTCCAAAGTACTTAAATACAGAAATGTAAACTCCAAGCTAAATTTTTAAATAGCTGTGAGGGAGAGACATTTTCCCTTCCAATCTATTTTATACTAATGGAATAAATTTCAAAATAATGTTTTTTTCTAACTAAACAAATAATATATGCTAACTATTTAAAGTTAGACTAAGTATTAAACATAGAGGGGAAAATACTGATAATTCTGCTCTGAAGAGAAAAAACTCCTTTAACATTTTTATCTCCTCCCTATTTTTTTCCAGTGTAATTAAGGATATCTTTCTCTCTCTCTCTTTTATATTCTCTCTCTCTCTCCCTTTCTCTCTCTCTCTCTCTTTATCTCTCTCTATATATATCTCAAAAGCATTTAAAAGTGTTTAAGTATGATTTTAAATAGCATAATATTTGATTATATGAGCATACTGCAATTTCCTTTGCTGTAT